CCGGAGCGGCTTCCAGTCGAGCCATGTCAATTGCACCACTTTGGAAAGCGGGAGGGAGGGAAGGAGGGAAGGAGGGGACCCACTTGGCCTCGCCCTGCGCTTTCGGCCAGCGCGGCAGCAGGAGGAAGAGAGCGAACCAGGAAGTGGTCGGGAGCCGCCCTGGGCAGGCGAGGAGGAACAGGAGGTGAGTCGTGGCATCGGGGCTCAGCCGCGGAGGGCCTCCCTCGGAAAGGGGAGCGAGTCCGGGGAACCGTCAAGGGCGACGCCAAACCTCTGCGCTCTTCACCGGGGGAGGAGGGCAGATCCCGTTTCTTTGCCTGCCCGGGAAGGAACCATGTGCCGCCTTGTGGTCTTCAGAGCCATAAGCGGAGATGGGATTCGTGCACTGGGGGGTCCTTAGGGAAATGCGCTCATGGAGTTCATGCACACACCCCTTTTGAAATCCAAATGCTGCATTCCTTCCCCCTAGGCGCCCCTCCTTTGAGGCCACCAGCTTTTAAGGAGGAGGAGGAGGAAGCAGAACAAGAGAAGAAGAGGTTGGGTTTATATCCCACTGCCCTTCACTACCCAAAGGAGTCTCAGAGCGGCTGACAAACTCCTTCCCCTTCCCCTCCCCACGACAGACACCCTGGGAGGTAGGTGGGGCTGAGAGAGCTCTTTCGAGGCCTGCCCTTGAGAGAACAGCTCTGACAGAACTTGTGACTGACCCAAGGTCACACCAGCAGCTGCAAATAGAAGAAGAAGAGATTGGATTTATACCCTGCCCTTCACTCCCCAGAGGAGTCTCAGAGCGGCTCACAAACTCCATTCCCTTCCCCTCCCTACAACAGACACTCTGTGAGGTTGGTGGGGCTGAGAGAGCTCTGACAGAAACTGCTCTTTTTCAAGAAGAAGAAGAAGAGGAGGAGGACGAGATTGGATTTATACCCTGCCCTTCACTACCCGAAGGGGTCCCAGAGTGGCTTACAATCTCCTTCTCCTTCCCCTCCCCACAACAGACACCCTGTGAGGCGGGTGGGGCTGAGAGAGCTCTTTTCAAGAACTGCCCTTGAGAGAACAGCTCTGAGAGAACTCGTGACTGTCAGAAGAAGAAGAGGAGGAGGAGGAGATTGGATTTCTACCCCGCCCTTCACTACCCGAAGTCGTCTCAGAGCGGCTTACAGTCCCCTTCCCCTCCCCACAACAGACACCCTGTGAGGTCGGTGGGGCTGAGAGAGCTCCAACATAAACTACTCGTTTTCAAGGAGAGCTCTTATCAGAACTAGGGCTTGCCCAAGGTCACCAAGCAGCTGCAAGTGGAGGAGTGGGGAATCAAACTCGGCTCTCCTAGATTAGAGCCCGCACACTCAACCACGACACCAAACACAGCAGACACCCTGTGAAGTAGGTGGGGCTGAGAGAGCTCTGAGAGAACTGTGACTGACCGAAGAAGAACAAAAAGTCTATGTAGTCTGGAGACCAGCTGTACTTCTGAAGGAGTAATTCTGTCACTGTGGTTGCCAGTTCCGGGTTGGGAAATACCTGGAGATTTTGAGGGCTGGAGCCTGAGGAGGGTGGAGTCTGTGGAGGAGAGGGACCGGTGGAGTATACGGCCAGAGAGTCCACCCTCCAAAGCAGCCATTTTCTCCAGGGGAACCGATCTCTGTCAGCTGGAGATCAGTTGAAATCCCAGGAGATCTCCAGCCCCCACCTGGAGGTTGGCAACCCTGGGTATCACCCGTTCTGCTATCCTGAACACTTTGGGCTTGGAGGGCACCTGGAATTTGCGGGACTCGCCGCCCAAAGGACAGTCCTTGTTTGGTCACTTCCAACCCGGTAATCCCCCCCAAAAAAAATAATTTCAAAAGCCACTTGCAATTTCTCCCTCTTGGATCCTTGGAGGACCAGTTTGGTGTCGTGGTTAAGTGCGTGGACTCTAATCTGGGAGAACCGGGTTTGACTTCCCCACGCCTCCACTTGCAGCTGCTGGTGTGACCTTGGGTCAGTCACAGTT